ACTCCATATGTGTTATGGTGTTTATTTCTTGGGTGTAGATGTATACCGCGCGCAATCTCGTAGACGGCATCGGATATATCACGTGAACCTCAACATTGCAAAGCGCACCTGACTTTCCAGTCCAACGGACCTCCAGGCCCGGATAGGGCGAAAGTGGATTCGTCGCATCAATCAAAACCTTGCCCTTGATATCAGCACCAAGGTCTGACGCAATGGCCTTGATTCCGGCATCGCTGTGCGCGCCTGCGCAAGTATCCGCGCAAAAAGATGTATGTAAAAAACGCTTTTTTTCATGCACAAAGCACTATAGAGCCATATAGAATCGGGTCAGACCTGGAACTGCGAGTACCACCACGTCGCTGCTTTTTACAGCTTCCGGAACAGTAAGCACTGAAACGTTTTCTAGTCCTGCCAAGTCGGCATACTTTGCGACATTTCTGACGCCGAATAGAACCGAGTGCTTCTTTGCTATGGCCTTGCCTAGCGTCTGCCCGACACTGCCAGCACCGATTATTCCGACTTTCAAAGTCATCCTTGTGTCATTACTGTGATAAAACAACAGGCGGTCATGACGATGCAACTCTTTAGTGGTGCGCCATTCGAATACTTTTAACATAAGGCCCGTGGCCTGGACCTTCGCTGAACGATGGCCGGTTGCCTTGTGGGCAGCGTCCAAGGGCCATTGCAAGCGTCAACGTCATTACATGTTCCGCACAAATGCGGGAAGCGTCTGGCAAAGCCGAGGGCCCATGGATGGTCCAAAGCCATGAATGTGGCGACGATGAGTCCTCTCCCGCCCGCTTGGCCTCGGTGCGCCAGAGCGCGATCTCCCAAAATCTAGCTATATGGGCCCTTCCGACGTAAGGTTATGCCGTAATAGTACCACCACTATGGAACGTTTTGCTTTCGCTCTTGGTTATGAAAGCGAGATGACCATGGCCCAGTCGCGTTCGGCAAGGCAACTACAACATCCGCCTGTTAACAATCTCAAAGGCATTAGGATATTGAAAGTAGAGGCAGGTTGGCTGTTGAACTCCACTAGGCTTGAAACTTCTCACTTAGGTTCTCTCGTAGTCTACAAAACTGTGCAAAAAATG